TAATCATGGTTTAAAAATGTTAAGAAACCGCTGCGAGACAGCCTGAACATTTTTGAAGTTAGCTAACATAACAAAAATGTTTTCAAATTTTCAATCTCACAAATACATTCTCACTTCCATTCTCAAATAAAAGAAAGTTTGAATATTTTCATATACTTGTTTTTTGTTTTACTTGAGTTGCTCTGCAAATTTCAATTTTATAAAGCGGACAAACTTCAAAAAATAAATGATGGCCGACGAATTGAGCGAGCGGTTTTACCTTGAAATATTTGTATCATGGAAAATAACACTATGCGACAGTCAAAATCGGGATGGGATGAAACCAACGGGAAATGTTATATCGGTCAAAAACAATTTATACGTGGCCCGGCGTTTCGCTGGGTCACGTCTAGGAATCGAGATATATCGATTTGAAGTTAGTAACTATCATATAGGGGAAATTGTCACCTTTGGTGGTCTTTTTTTTGACATAACTCGAGAACCACTAGTCCGATTTTGCTCAAACAAATTTAAAAAAATTAAAAATTACAATTCCTTTAATCTGTTAATATAACGTTTTTCTATATACTCAACAGTTTTGCCGGTAAAAATAAATGTATTAAGAAAAAAAAAATTATTTTTGCCTAAAAATTAATTAATTATGTATCTATGTAATAACCTAATAATTACCTTTAATAATTTTTAATTTTACGGGTTAATAATAAATAATATATAATAAATATTATCCAAATTCATTGAAACATAAAATCAATATTCTTGTCAAAATGAGATACCTTCACTTAATTGTGAATAAAAGCGAAACGCGTCCATCGATTTTCATGATCTATGCCTCATTTTGCTTAAAGGTTATGTGACTTTGCGTGAAAGTAATACGACTTGCATTTTTTTCCGTTTTGGATTTTTTATGAATTTAAAAAATAAAAAAATTTAATATATTAGGCAAAAAATATTTTTTTTCTTCATACATATACAGATTAAAGGAATTGTAATTTTTAATTTTTTTTAATTTGTTTGAGCAAAATCGAACTAGTGGTTCTCGAGTTATGTCAAAAAAAAGACCACCAAAGGTGACAATTTCCCCTATATGATAGTTACTAACTTCAAATCGATATATCTCGATTCCTAGACGTGACCCAGCGAAACGCCCGGACACGTATAACTTCTTTTTTACCGATATAACTTTCCCCGGTAGTTTGAACCCTTCCCGACCACTGACCGCTACCATTTGTCTCACAGTGTAATAACATATAAAAAGAGATCTAGTTTTTATTAACCCGTAACTTTAATTTCATTTCTGCTTGGATATAAAAATTTAATACCAATGGTTTGTCTCTACGGGAAGCATTGAATACCGAATAACGAATATTTAATAAAATTAAGACCCACCAACGCAGATCTCCATTATTTGAGAATATCGAGCAACACTAGTGTGCCCATTGTAATTTTTCAATCCTTGAAGTAAACTGAATAAAAAAACATTGAACTGTACCTAATTTTTGTTGTTTTGCGAGCATATTTACCAATGTTTTTGTGCTTATCTAAGAGCTTAAAACCGATTTTTTCTTGCTTATTTTCTTCAGCCATGGTTATTACTAACAAATTGATTTTGTCAGTGCGATCTCTAATTGGGAAAATTAAGAATAAAAACCTGAAGTGTACCCTGGATTAATGCCTTTAAATTATTTAACAAGACATAATTTATAACACAAATTAATAGTGTTGTTGCTGTATGAATACTTTTATAATATTATAAATTAAATGTGACCTTAAATACAAGTCAAATTAAAATTTAAATTAATTATTGGATAATTTTAAAATAATAAATGTAATTTATTAAAAAATTATGTTTGTTAATTGATAAGGATTTCAGCTTGAAACAAAAAGTTAAAATTCTCAAGAAACCACGATAGTATCGATACTATCGATGTTTTAGTGGCAAAAACATCGAAAAATCGATAGTTTCAAACATCGATGTTTTTGCAGCACTATTGACCAGCGCTCGAACCCAAGCCATTCGGAGTGGTAGAACGCACCTCTAACCTTTCGGTTACAGTGGCCAACAACATATACAAGTTAGAAAAAACAGGCGCAATGTTCAACGCTATTATGTAGGTATGACATTCAGTACGGCAATCATACCAGCTACATATACTAATAAACATAGGTCTTTTCGATTAGTGCTGTAATGGCAATAAATAATTATAAAATTGCAATCCTTAAAATCCAAATAATCTATTACAATTCCACTACTCAAACTCAAAATAAATTGAGCGGCTTTCCAGCGCGTGCCTTTAAAAAGTCGTGATTTTTTAATATAGCAAGTGCTATAGCTTATTTTATTCGTTTTGTACTGAATTCAAGGCCGATAGCTTCGACAACCATGTCATGGCGTACATAATAGACACTACAGCTCCGATTTCCACAGTTGAAAAAGAATCGTTCAAAAATTTATTCCAAGGAACGAATTTGCATGTTATGAGTCGGCGAACATTAAGAAAACTTCTTTCAAATCGCTTCAGTGTAATGATTGAACACATAAAAGAAACTCTAGCCGCACAAAAGTTTGTTTGTACCACTGCAGACGTATGGTCCACAAAACATCGGAGCTTTTTCGGTTATACTTGCCACAGGTTCACCCAAAATTTTGAAAGAAAGTCGGTAGCCTTGGCGTGTAAACGATTTTCCGGACATCACACATATGATTGCATTGCGGATATGATAAGAAACATTAACACCGAATTTAATTTAAATAGCATGAAAATAATTGCGACAGTAACGGATAACGGTTCACAGCATTCAAGGTGTTTGGTGTTGAAAATATTTCTGATTGCACTGATCTTGACAATTTTGAAGATATTCCAGAATGCTCCAATGATTTTAGCAGCAGTGTCGCCCTGCCAAAGCACTTGAGATGCGCTAGTCATACACTCAACTTGATAGCCTCCTCAGATTTTGCAAAACTATTAGACACCGATCAATCATTAAAAAGCAAACATAAGCAGGGCATGCATCACGTAACTTTGAAACGATAGTCGTTCAAACGATACTGACAAAACGATGTTGTCAAAACACTGATTTATGCATTTGTGTTGCTGTTACGTGTTACTGTTACGTGAGCAAAACTGGAATCGAGTTAACGATATCACACAAACGATCAAACAATTTTTGATTTTTATGAAGCAAGACAATCTCGACACGATATCGTTCAGACGATTGTCGTCATACGTGATTCATGCCCAGGCAGCGATGCCAACTTGCGGGGAATTCCCCGATTTGCGGGGAATTTGTCTCGTTGCGGGGAATCGGGGAATTTCTGCCTTTTGCGGGGAATTTAGACTATTTAATTTTAGATCATTAAATAACTTATCTACCTAGAGTGCAGAGTACTTTTTGTAAAATTTTATTTTTAGTCACAATTTCAACTCTGCCAATTTCGCATGAATATTACTTACATTCATTTATATATACATACTAAATAATGCAATTACACAAGGCAACAGTGATTTTGTTGCGGCTGTTGATAGAACTCAATACTGTATATAAATCTTTTGAGGTTGATTTTTCCTCCTCACAGCAAACTTTCATTATAATAATAATAATAGTTTGGCGCTTACACATATGTTAGTGTTTGGCAGAGCTTCACCTCCGATTTGTGGCGTGCGCCTTGATGTTTTCACACAAAGCGAAGGGACCTACAGTTTTACGCCGACTCCGAACGGCGATTGTATTTTTATGAGAAGCTGTTTTTCATGGCAGAAATATACTCGGAGGTTTGCCATTGGCTGCCGAGGGACGACCGCTGTTAAGAAAAATCCTTTATTTTTTTTGCGATGCTGCTTTGACCAGGGCTTGAACCCAGGTGATGCGGAGTGGAAGCGCGCACTGCTTACCACTACACCACAGCGGTCGACTTCAGACACTTTCATTACACTTCTTAATTATATTTATAAGTAAGTAAAAGAAATAGAACTAATTTGTTATTTGGTTTCCCATGTAACATTGTTAGCTTTGAATAAACTATCAGTTTTGATATACCTCTAAAATCTTATATCCATAATGGTTTTCCATTACAGTTTCTGTATTTGTTAAGATTATTATTTTTTGTTAAAATCTCTGTATTAGTCTGTAAGACAATTTGTTTTTGTTGACTAATTTTTTACTTGAAATAAAGAAATATTAAAGCTGTTTTGGAAAGACTTTTTGTGCTGATTACGAATCCGTAAGTATAAAGTTTCCTTCAGGTCCAGATTTTGAGAAAACTAGGTTAAACTGTCGAAAAATTGCGTTTTTTGCAATATTTGAAAAGGTCTAGCAAGGTGATAGAATCTTCCACTTAGGCTTAAATTAAAGATATAAATAAATTAAGTAATAATAAAATTAAATTGACTTCTAAAAATGATAAGTAATAAGTTTAAAAATTTTATGATTTGTTGAATTTTTATCAGTTTTGACCAAAGTTGTTTATTTTGACTTATAGGGCGTATGTTTTAATTTAAATTTAAATATTGTATGTACATTCGTAAATAAATTCAAGCAATTGAATTAAAAAATTTGATTTTTTTATGGAATCATGCTAGGGCGGGGAATTTCACCGAAAATCGGGGAATTTCGCGGTGGTCAACGGGGAGAGAGATAAAATGAGTTGGCATCCCTGTGCCCAGGTAAAATGTCAAACAGAAAAATAAAAAAATTTAGCAGTCTAGAATAATAAAAAAAAATTTTCAGGTTATCAGGAAATGTTCCTTGCTATAGCGGAAGTGCAATTGGCCCCAGTCTTCAGAAATAATAGTGGATACATTGGGTGCATCTTTAATTATTCCCAGCGAAACGCCGGGACACGTATAACTTCTTTTTTACCGATATAACTTTCCCCGGTAGTTTGAACCCTTCCCGA